GAGACGCGAGGTGGAAGAGAGCGTGGAGGGAGGGTCGCGTTTCCATTTTGGGGCCCGTTTCCTCTGCGTTTTTTCTGGGTTCTAGGGGTTGTTTCCTTGTCTGTTTTGGGTTGATGTGAAGAGGAAAAGGGAAGGTAAAGGGTTTGGGTCGGGTCGTGTTGGGTCGGGTAGGCGAAGCGGGTCAAAAGAGTTTGGGCGGGTTGGGATTTAAGATTTAATGGGCTGAGGGATTAAGAATTGGGCCTGGGGTAAATTTGTGGGTGGGTTTTAAAGGAATTGGGCCTTTAATCTGAAAGTAGAGTAGAAGGGAGTGGGCCTGGGGCTGCTGAGGATTGTGTCAATGGCCCAAACTAACACAAATTAAGTTAAGGATGGGTTGGTTTAATGAATATCCAAGTTGGCCCAACCCCAAAATAAAATGAATTCGTATCAATTAATTAACGAGCTTCTTTATATATAATAATTATAAAATCATAAAAGTGATTCAAACGTATAATTATAATTTAAACTAAGGCTAGCTTAATAAAACATTCAAATGTATATCTTGATGATTGTGGAATAATCGTAAGATATACTACTTATATACATAATTATGTAAAAAAAAAAAAAATATATATATATATATTATCGAAAATTATGTCAAAGCGTATTCGAAGTAACATAAAATTCATACATTATGTATATTTTTTAATTTATATACATATATATACATACATATATATATGTATATATATATATACATATGCATATATACATGTATATATATTTTTAAAATCTTCTTCTCTTTTTTTTTCTTTTTTTTTTTCTTTTTTTTTTTAATAATTTTTGCAAGATTTATAAAACTAATTAACTTAAATAATTTTAAAAATTCTCGAAGCTCGATAATTAATTTACACCAATGTGGGTCAAAATTGGGTGTCAACAATGGATTATACCTGATAAAGAAATAGTGGTTCCTCAAACTTCTTTAACTTCAACGAACTTAAGAACAACAACAAGTCACACAGACTCAGTCGATCGACACTTTGATTTTATTTGAGAGAAAAATAAATGCAGAGAAGGAAATTTTCAGTGTTTTGAAAAATCAAAAATTGACTACCTTTTATAGCCATTTTCAACAAGGAACATGTCTGTTCAGTGAAATTTGTTCAGACCCATTTTATCCAGAAAGTTGTGTCTTTTGGAAAAAATAACAACTTTTCGGAAAATTGTGTCTGTTAGGAAAATAACGATTTTTTTGAGAAAGTAACGAATTTTTGGAAAGATTAACAACTTTTCGGAATGTTATGGTTACCTGCAAATTTATAAGAGATAATTTTAACATGATTTATATTGATTTAACAAAAATTGATTAAATAAATTTTGTCCAAAAAATTTATCAATCAATCACATCATTTGCCAAATCCAAATCCAAATCCAAAGCCAAAGCCGAAGCCGAGGCCGAGCGAGCGACGACGACGCGAGGGGCAATCTTCTTCTTAGCTCTTTAAGAAGTAATGGAAGTGTTTCTTTCTATAAGGACAACAATTTCCTTTTCTTATGCCGATATGGGAGAAATGACTTTTCATTTGCACTATGCAAATGACTTTTCATTTTCCCTCCAAAGTAGTTCCCTCACTTTTCATATTCTCTCTTTTCTTTTCCCATTCACACTTGCTAATCCCAACAAGTTGTACTCCCTATGTCCCTAATCACTTGTCCATTTTTTGTTTTTTAGTTGTCCCTAATTACTTCTCCATTTTCACAAATTAAGAAAGTACAAAAAATATTTCTCGATTATACCCTCAATTTATTAATTTGAAAAATGTAGAATTTATTGAAAATCATAAAAAAAAAATTAGTTCATTCACTTCATAATTAATAGGGGTAAAATGATAAGCTCATTATATCATTTATTGTATTTTTAATAGGTTTGTCAATTCAAAAGTGGAAAAGTAATTACGCACAAAGGGAGTATTAAAGAGAAAACCCTTGATAATAGAGAGACAACGCTCTCAATACGCACATTTCCAAATCGTAATCTTCAAGAAGGGTTAAGAGACATGATCATATTCAATAACCAAAGATTCATTCATAATGTAGCAACAAATTCCTCTCTAAAAGATAGCATCTTAAGAACTCACAAGCCAGATAAAACTTAATTGCTAACCACATTAATAAGATCCTAAACCACCGGATTAAAGGAGGCTCACCATAGCTAACTCGAACTCTTGCATGTATCGACGAAGCTCCTGTTGAAGATCCTGACTACTTGTGTCTGTATCATGAGAAGATGCAGGTCAAATGTCTCAGTATGTGGAAGGTATGAGCATGTAAAGGGAATTCTAAAGAATATCATAAGCTTGAACTTGATAAAAATAAAAAAACTTACCTCTTTTCAAACTAACTCAACTCAAGGAATACTCAAGGATACTCAAAACTACTCAACTTACTAAACTCAAAAGTACTCAAGGATAACATACTCAACTATAAATATATTATACTTGACTCAATGAAACACATATCAACCCAAGATACTAAACTTAAGATACTTAACTCCTGATACTTAATTGAACTCATTTTAATAAGAAGAAGTTTAAAATAGTTGCAACATAAAGAAAAATCAAAATTGTTTGAAACATGATGTCATCTCATAATCATAATATAATTAAAAAAAACATATCATACTCCTTCTCAAAGTTTACCTTCGCAATGCATGAATGATTCTCATTCCTCCATTTGCTCTAAGCAAAACCCATTTAGGAACCAAGCAATTATTGTTTTGGGAGTTTCTCTAATAGAAAACCATCACTCAATAGCTATAGTGATGGTATAATGCTATTAGGCAAATGCTGCCCGGTCACCATACATCTTGCCGGAGTATAGAACCAGAACTACTAAGTGGATTCACTAGGCTATTGTGAATGAGTTCATCTAAAAAGTACGATCCATTTCTATCCAGGATGGCTACATGGTTCATGGAGACTTGAGTTAATATGAACTCGCATCTTCATATGGGTGTTCAATACTACTCTAAAAATATACTTAGCTCATATGTTTTAAAAAAAATTCATCTGTGATTTGAGATTAGTGCTCAAAAATTTAGCTCAAAGGCTATCATGGAAATCTCAGTTTCCTCTCTTACTTTATTAGAAAACGGTTACTATTTTCTGAAAACAAGCCCAAAGTCTCTTTGGCAATCTCAGTTTCCATTCTTATTTAAATGCAAAAACATTCTAAATCTCTTTGGAAATACCTACTCCCAATATACATCTTTGAAGAAAAGAACTTAAGTTAACCCCGCTAAAGTTTGCTCTTCGCTTTAGAGATCATGCCTTGGCTTAAGTGAAGGTCGCTTAAGCGGAAGTCCTATCGGAGACGCAAAGAGTATAAAACTTATGGACCAGAAAAATCAGCCAACTCTCAAAACATCAAAAGGACCATTAGAATTCGTTCGAATACTGTATATACAAATCATATTTGAAGACTATTCTTGACGTTCTGTACAAAATGGAATCATCGAAACAAAAATCAGAGTTTGACTCGAAGCATATATTGGGAGGGGTAAAATAATAACTTTATAATAATTTCCAATCATAACAGACCAGGTCATTATAATTAGGTATCACACACGTACTGCTCCACTATATTTTTGTTGCTTCAGTCACGAATGATTTCTCATATGAAGTAGTATTGTGGCTTCTAACGTAATTTGATATGTAGGTGAGATGCATCCCCATATTAAGAGTTGCACCGCATATGTTTACCACACACAAAACTTTTTTGCGATCATTCTTCCTATAGTTTCAATTCAGTAAGTTAGTGATGCGGAGTCGCATGTGGACATGCGAAGACATAAACGTCACTTTATGGCAACAAACTATTTGATAACCTTCAGCTTTGAACCTTTTTACTTTATTTCTACTCGATCGCCTGCAAATTAGGAATACCTACTTTTCTAGGCTTAAACATCGTAATTGCCTTCTTTTTCTCTCTGCAACATAATAGTTTAAGCTTAGAAACTTACAAGTAGTTAAAAAACAAACTTATCATAACACAAAAAAAACCTAAACTACTTCTTATCCTCGAGTACGAAACTTCAACATCATACATACTCAGACTTCACTCTTCTACCTAGCAAGAATTCGACTTGGAACAAACTTGAATCATAGTAGTGACAGTTCATCACATGACAACAATTTAAGATCAATTATTATTCATACAGTCTATGTATTACTTCATTATCCATGAAAACTATTTGACAATGGTTATATTTTCTTCTATTTATATGTGCCAACTCAGGAAAAGAGAATCCCTGAAATATATAGTATAAATGAAACTAGATAATTTATATTCAGAATCAAACAATCACTGTTAGGAAGATGTCAAAATGCACACACATGCATGGTATCATAAGCTTGTCCATTATGTATTTCTCAGCTAATTCATACAACTTATTTTAAGGTCAATTAGGACTTCTGCGGTACGACAAATGAAAAGGTGAAGACAAACAGTCACCACTCATGGAAAATGACAATCAAACTGAAAACAACTATCAACATGCACAAACTTGACACAGTAGACTCTATAGGAATGACAACAGCTTAATGAAAACATTAACACTCGATATTATCAATTGAATAAATTTTTTTGGATCACATCAGACACATGTTATCAACCAAATTATCCATAGTATTTTACAATGACTTTGCCTCTACAAAATCATTAATTGCACAAGTCACCAAATTTGACAATAAAGACAACTATTGAAAAAGATCTAAGTATAAATAAAACCTAAAAGATATACTATAACACATGAATATGCACAACCAAAAATAGATATACAGACCAACTGTTGTTCAAAATTAACAATACATGGCAGAACAGGAAATATTATCACAACATAAACATGCCCATTCGGGTCAGATGAACATCATTAAAAATATATTTCACAGACATGTTCAGTAACATTAGGATATTTGTAAATCTCAATTTTATATTAAATTTTGTGTATTAGTACCTGACATAGTTCAAAGTTTACCTATTAATGTATTATTATCTTCCTTGCCTTATTTTTTATTTCTTATACGAATAGTTGTATCTTCCAATAAATAAACCATAAAGGTATATTCCTAATGCAGGGGACACATTTATTTTGTCCAATAGACTTTGAACATACACAGAATTTCTCTACTTCACGAAGGGAAAAAAATGAGAAAAATAGAACCATAATTTAAATTTGGTGATCCAATTCTGTGTTTTGGGAGTGCAAACATCAATTCTAAAAATTAAGTTATAATAGAACCTTTGAACTTTTTAACATATAAAAGCCACTATTATAATATTAGATGTGTTACTAGTTTACACCAGAAAAGTTTAAAAATAAAGTTTTACCCTATATGTAAATTGGTTTTGTTAATTTTTAAGTGTAAGAGGTCATTTTGAAAAATTAAACTAACAACAACATTTCAATAATAATAAAAATAAATGAAAAATAAATAAATCAGAATCATAAACATAAGAATAATTGACCATCGATTTAATAAGTGAATGAAACAACAAACTTTGAAACACATCAAGGAATACGACAGAAGAACACTTCAAAGGAGGACGAAGAGAAACTTATCCGAAGAGTCCAATGATATAATTTAGATATGAAAAATAGTAAACAACATAAATACTCCATTTGACTATAAGTACTTAGAAAATAGTACAAATTAAAAATATACACATTGGTCCTTAGTTTTTTTTTGGCGTTGTTTGGATCTTGAACATTTATATTTTTACAAAACGGATCATCCAATAAGGTCATCACATTATCATCCTTCGTGTTAAGCAACCCAGAAGTTGTAGGACTATCTGGTAAGTTAACAGAGAGATTATGATCATTATTCGTTGAGGTTGATATACCAATTGAAGGGATATCCATTGAAGGTTCGACTGGTTGTGTCAATGTAGGAGACACTAGAGAATACATTGGAGGAGCCATCGTTAATGAAGACGTCGGATAATCAATCTTTTGTGAAGGCATAAGAGAATTCATTTTTGTAGACGGCATTTTATGGGTCAGTCTAGGTGTTTTTCCAACACTCTTGTGATGAGGCATTGGAGAAAACAATTGTGGAACCATTGGAGGAAACATTTGTGAAAACAATAGAGGAGAAGGATCCATTGGTCCTTCAAAATTGGATACCATTGGTTCGACAATGGGTTGAGGGGCATTCGATGTAAAACCCTCTCCATCAGCCTCTTTTATCATTAGTTCATGTACCTGTTTGAGATTTTTTTTTATCACACAACGTAGGTCGTTGAGATAGGAAGTGCTCATGTCAACAGAAAGAGTTTTTCTATTGAACAACTCATACATCTCATTTGTCATTTCCTTGACCCTATTTTCCTTTCTTATCTTTTGAAGTTGTTCCTCCAACTTCTTGATCCTTTTCATAGTGAACTCTTCTCTTGTCACCATGTTCTTAGATCTGTCCAATATCGGCAACTCTTTAAACTTTATAAAAGTGTTGCGTACAACATTATTATTTGGAAATGCATATGGTTCATTCCTGTATGGGCCGTATATCACTGTAGCCACTTCAACATCACAAAGTGTTTTCAGTTCATCAGATTTTTTCAACAGCCCTTTCAGTCTTTTATCATATGAGATTTTTCTTTTAGTATCATCTTCAATCAAAGCATAGTTCACTTTGTTTCTTGTCATGGCTAAAGGGGAGGAAAAATGTGTTTGTTTGGATATTAGGGTTAAAATGAATTTGTTGTGGTAGCAATAGTAGTTTTGATTTTCTTGCCTGGGATTGACTCCTATTTATAGAGAAAATTTTAATTCTCTATATTTTTTTAAAAGTTTGAAATAGAGATTTTTTTATTGCTTGCAAGTACAATTTTGGAAAAACACTAAATGAAGGGATATTATATAAAAGTTAGAATTATTTTGAAATATATTTACTTATGGTTCTGGTATTATGTTAAACAACTTATTAGGAAAAATATTAATGTAATTTAAATTTGAGTAGTGTACATAGAAAATGGTCATAAAGTATCCCAAACATATTTGTTTATTCATTTCCATCATCGAGTTTTTTTTTAAAATAAAAAGTATATTTTGATTCAAGTATGTACATAATTAAATATTGAAACAAGGGAACATTGATATATTTGTTCGGATGAAATATAAATTTTGATAGTATTTGAATATGCTTAAAAATATTCAATTTTTATTATTAATTAAAGAATACAAATATTTTTAAAATCTTAAATGGTGATGTATGTATGATTGAACTAGTTACATCGCTTGTCAAAGCACATTATTATTTTCTTTCATTTTGAATAAACCATATTTAAATAAAAATAATTATGTTGCTTTCAAAAATATTTGAAACTAAATCTTGCTCAATAATGTTTTTCTTAATATATGATACTCACCAACCTGTCACTCGATTCACATTGTATATAATTCTATATTAGTCTTGAGACAAGTCAATCTAAAATAATTGCACAAAACACATCTAAAAATGATGTGTTTACAATAGTGTTAGAATTAAAAAGATATATTTTATTCATTTTAGGAAAAATATTCAAGATGTTTACAAAAATTTTATCAAATGATTATGTACATTTACATATTTATGACTATGATGAAAGAAAAATCTCCTTTTATAGTCAATATGATAAATATTAATCATATTGGGATCCATATATATAATGTCTATCTCCCTAAATGACAGGGGAAGAAAGAACTTCAATTTTATTGAGTTTATGTCATGCTTGATTAAATTCGTTTAAATATTATGATCCATCCTTTCATTTTAAAAAATATCCGCGGTAAAATTCTCAAGTCTAAATTGGGTCAATCTAGTCGACTAAAGCTGATATTGACCTGCCTTGGCAGAAAAAAATATTTCACTTACATAGGATTATCTAGGAAAGGACTATCTAGGATCACTATTCAAGTCCCTTGGCTGCTATAGCTCTAGTGGTCCCTTGGTCATCATAGCAGCACCCCACAATGGCCCCAACAATTTTTACTCCATTTCCTCTTAGTCGATGGTTGAAAAGAGTTGTCTCTTCCTAAAAATGTCCTAGAGTTGTACTCCCTCTGTTCCTAATCACTTGTCCATTTTTCCTTTTTTAGTTGTCTCTAATTACTTGTCCATTTTCACAAATTTAGAAAGTACAAAAAACGTTTCTCTATTATACCCTCAATTTATTAATTTGAAGAAAAAGACTTGATACTCCAAAACAAAACCTTTCCCTCCCTAAAATTCTCTCAAGATCACCATTGAAGAAGAAAAAAAGGAGGCAGAATCTAGGACTAATTTCACCAAGGTTTCTAGATAAGGTTAAGGCTTTGATTAAAGGTATGTGAATATTGTTCATCCATGTATTCTTCAATCCATGGAGGCCCCATAGTTTCCCTCAATTGTGAATCCAAGATACCCCAATTTAGCTAGGGTTGTGATTACATTGTGGGTAAGACTTGTTTGTGATCCTTATTTAGTGGGTGAATTCAACTATATTTTTATGATGATTATATAATGTTTTCATGTGGCTTTATTGATTAATTTTAATCTATGATGATGAAGGTGATCATGGTGGGTTTAAGCCATTAGAGGGAAAGAGAAGGTTTAAAGTTAATTTTCTTAATTCAATCGTCTTGAATACTAATTGATCGTAGCTACGATCATCTAGATATGAATTGAATTAGGCCTAATTGAATAAGAAGGATCTTGACTTGTAAAGTCAGAATTGAACCTATATGATCAAGCATGACTAGAATTACCTTCTAATGATCAAAGTGATTGAAATAGTTTGTAATTAGAAATGGGTCATAATAGAATGAAACTAGCATTGAAGATAGTGCTTGTAGCCATTATTGTTAGGATTGTGATGAGTTATTCTCCTTCTCATATACACTTAGATGAACAAGCTAGGAGAAGCAAGTTCTCTCACATAGATGAATTCTAGGTTGACCTAAGACCCTAAAATGAATAAAAGCATGATAGACTAGAATAGCTTGATCTTGGATTAGACAGAGATAGAATAGTTAGAAGTTGAGTCTCGTAGCTCCTTTATGGATAGTTGAATTATGTAGCTTGTAATGGTAGATCACATGGTAGCTTGAGATGGTAAATCTTATGGTAGCTTGGGATGGTGAATCTCATGGTAGCTTGGGTTGAAGGAATTAAGCTCTCCCATGGTTAGCTTGATCTTGGATTGATAGAATTCTTGTTAATGGTTGCTTGCATTAGTATTAGGCAAGGTAGCCTATGATAGAGGATCGATACTCTCCTAGGGATAGCTCGAAGTAGCATGACTAGAATTTCTTCATGATAGCTTGATTTGGTTAGTCCAACACCACTTCATGGTATCTTAGGATTGAGACATGTAGCTCTCCAAGGAATGACTTATGATCCCTTATAGTTAGCTTGCATCTACATGAATAGTTGCATGATGGCTAGGTTGGTATTCTTATATCCTTCATTTGTTAGCTCGGATTGTATGTTATGATGCTTTCCATGGTAGTAGGTCTGTTATGTTAGTATGCTAATCTTAATAAACTAGAATGAAAGATAAGTTAGCTTGGATTGGTTATCCTAAAAAAGTACTTAGTATAAATGATAAAATGGGATGTCATTCATACCTGACACAAGTATGACTTGAAGCTACCTATGAAATGACCTCTTATATGATGTATGCTTAGCTTGGATAGTAGTTATAGTTGCCTTCCATGTCATGATTGATTTAGGGTGATAGTTCCTTGTCAATATGAAGTAGGTCTATTAGTGACACCTTAAGATGGTTAATATGAATAGGGTGATTTCGAGATATGTTTAGTGTGTGAGGTATAATGAGATGCCTCACATGCATTGCACAAGTGTGTATTGAAGTAACCTAGGGGTATAGTACTCTTACGTTATGATAGGTCTTAATTATGAAAGTGGATTATAATCAAGAATGACCAAACAAAGGTACTTAGCTTAGGTAGTAGTATGGGAGGCTACCTTGACCTTGCACAAGTATACTTGGAGGTGGCTTGTGATGCAATTCACTTGAATAAGAAGGACAAATGGTTGAAGTATGATTTATGTATGCCTTATGATGAATTACTATGCTTATGGTATTCATGTTATGTTTATGCTATTATATCTTATGATCATGTCTATTATTGACTAATCCTTTGAGATGTCTTATATTTTATATGTTAGCTTTCATACTTGGTACATTTTTGTATTAACACATATTGCCTACATTTCTAACAAAATGTAGCGGCTTTTAGTAGATTGAGTGCTTGGAGGCTAGGTTCCTAAGTTTGGAGAAGATTTAAGATTGGTGAGTCCTCGTAGCATTAATTGAAGATTCGTGAGTCCTCATAGCATTCAAGGACAACAGCCTTATGTTTCGTTTATGTTATTTACTATGTTTTAGACTTTTGTGGGTTGCGTCCCAAGACATGATTACTCATGTATTTCGTAGATGATTTTGAGACATATGTTAGAAAGACTTCTATTATTATGAAATGATTCCATATTATGTTTAAAAGAAAAGTTTTTAATTCCCTCCATTTTTAAATGATATTATGTAATGAAGCCAAGTGGCTTGTACAAGACCTCTAAGAGGTCAAATACGCCATGTTACTTTTAGAGGGTACCTCCAGGTCATAACTACTCTTGTATGCTGCCATGGATTCTTCTTCACTTCTTTTTAGATTATTAGATTTATGTTTTCTAGTTTTTAGGCGTGCATCCCCATTCTTGACTATTTAGAATTCTGGTACTATGACTTTCAAATTCTAGGAGGTTAAATTCGGCAATTGTTTTCTTACATTGTTTCCTTAGTGTTTTACAATATAAGTTGCAGCTTAAAATAGTTGATGAGTTAAGTTTGGGTTAGCCATCGATTCTCCCACCATATGGTCAATGTGGGTGTCACTCACGGCGATCTAGATTGTGACACTACACTTTTTTTTTCACTCGGTGTCCGGAGCCTCAACTAAATTATTCTCCTAATAAGAAATATTTGACTTTAGAAAAATGATTAATATAAGGCGAAGCCACAAACTACATGTATTTCAAATTAACATTTAACTTGATATTTAATACGATCTAATTTAGTTTTGTTTGAGAATAGTTATTATCACAACTAAGAATCCTATATAAAATTTACTTTAGGTATATATTGTGTATTTTTTTTTTCTATAATGAATCCCTAACGTCTGTGTTTGAAAGATCATTTTGCATTAAAAAAAAAAAGGTCACTATACTCGTTAAGCACGAGCCTCAACAGTCTTTAACTACATGAAGACCTTTTGTAATATACATATATTATTTTTTTTCTTAATTTAGAAATATTTAAGTCATTTTCAGAAAATGGCCTAATCAGTATAGTTAGTAAATGGTAGCTAGAAATATAAAATGTTTTTAGTTATGGCTATATATAAATAGTCATAATTCCTTACTTAAAAGTCGGCACCGGAATAAAATTATTGACGACGTGGCATTCTTTAATAGCTTTTTATATAGTTTAGATTATGTAGAAAAAAAATTCTTTTGGCCAAAAAAATTATTTAAAATTTTATCAAAATGGTAAAATAACATATTTCATATTAGGTTATTTTAATTTTAAATATTTTTATTCTTTTAATTTTAATATATTTTAATTAAAAAATAGAAAAAGATCAATTTATTTTAAATTAATTCCAAATATACTTTTGAATTAAATGAAATATTTATTGGTCATGCAAATCATTACATTACACTTTTGTATTAGTGATTACTTAGCACTAATCAAGGAATTTGTGATGTCCTGTCATGACATTCTCGAAACTATGAGGAAAAAAGAGGAATATCTATTTATAGGAATAAAATGTAGAGTTAATTCAGAGACAGATAACATATGAGTGGATCGAACTAAATTTAAAAAGATCAAATTAAGTGTCTTTGAGAAAGAAAAAATGTTTTTATCATGCATTCAATGGAAGTGTTGTAATGAGATTGATTTTGCCACTCTTACTTGATATATACAACAACAAAAAAATGACTAAAATTTGGTAAACTACTTTTAATTTAATTTTTAAATCTATTTTATAGATGAAAGGGATATGATAAAATATCTTTTTGTTAAATATCATCACTAAAATTTAGTGCAATGGAGAGCTTTATGAAGATTTTTTTAAAAAAATACTAGATAGAGTATTTAGTGATTAATTTTATAAACAGTATATTTCTTTTTTTTTTAAAAAAAAAAAGGATTGTCTGACACCTAATTCATGAGACCATTTATGTTATTAGTATGAATTTTGTTGTTTTGACGGAAAATGTATTTAAAATATAAATATATTGAGTTATTTAGGATGTATGAATATATTGAATTATTTGTTGGGGCTAAAATATCATAAAAAAAAAAAAAGTTGACAAATCTTTTTTTTAGGTTCATTAGGGTTGGGGGAGGGGGTGGGGGTGGTTATTGAAAATTGTCAGTGTGCATTCAGCTTAAGACTTTGAAGAATACTTTTGTTGACTTAAATCAACACTAAAATATACAACATAATCGAATATTAGGTAATAATTAATTAAATCAAATATAGTTAGGCTTGAAGTTAAAATAATGAAAGTTGGTTTATACAATAATAGAAAATTTATACTAAATCATATCCATCACCTTTTAGCATTTTGACATTTAGACGATCTACTTTTGAACTAAGGTTGAGAGAGAGTAATTCATTCTGTTTCGATCATAATAATTTTACTCCTAGTGTGTTATATTAAATCAATAAACTTAAATTTAATGATCAAAAAATAAAATTAATATATATTTTATCGTTTGACTATGATTAACTAGTAAAATAAATATAGCAGTATTTAAAAGGGTCTACAAAAGTAAGAGGTCATGAACATTTTCTAGATAAGAATAGTTTATTTATTATGTTTGTTTTTTATTTTATTTTAAGTTATTGATTTTACTTCTTAAGTATATTGTATATCTAAAAACTATATAATTATTATTATAAATTATAAGAATTAACAATTTAGAATATGTAAAAATTATATGAAAAAATTTGGTTGACTTTCGAAATTCTATCAATACCACAAAAATGAGATGAAGAAAGTAATATATATCATTTTAAAATAACATAAAAATTACTATAAATCACCACACTTAACAATTTAAAATATCCTAAAATCATATAAAATTTTGAATAAATTCTCAAAAATTCTATTCAGATCATATAAATTGAAATAAAAGGAATAACATATATTAAATGTATTCATACCGGCATTGGCTCCCGTATATATAAAGTTCATGTACAAGATACTTGATTTGCATTCACCAATAATATATTGAGAGCTCGTTTGATATGAAGTATAAGGTATAATAATTTCAAGATAAAATGTAGGATTATCTTATTTCATATTTAATTGGAGGTATTAAGATAGTCATTAAATTAGTTATCCCATCATTTCTGTTATAGTAATGGATTAATTATCTCATACATATGATGAAATAACTTATTGCAAAATTAATTATCCTCGAATAAGTCATTTCCAACTAAACGAGCCGTTAGTGTTGGATAAGAGCATGGATACGTTTTTGTCACATTCATTCTTCAAAGTTGCATTAATTAGTCGTTCAAAAACTTTGTAGTCTTTTGCTCCTTAATTAGTGCTTCTAACAATCTTATTAGGATAAGATTAAGTTATTTGTCCTAATTTTAACCATTATCCATGTTTCATAGTTCAAAATGATTGTTCGAAGGTTAGTGTTTTATTTATATTTAAAAATACGTCACCCAATGGCATAGGATGAGGTCATTATTCCTCAAAAAAAAAAACTTCAAGTGTTTGGTCACACAAACTTGTCTAAAATTTACTTTTGGGAAACAAAATGTTCAATTATATTTTTTCTAAAAAGTCTTTCTTCGGAACAACTACAAAATTCCAAAAAAAATAGTCATGACCATGCAAACACATCTCTGTTATATTTGTGAAAATGTACAAGTATCTTTTTAATTTATATTCGAAATTTCAAAGACACACTTATACTATACTAAGGTTCCTTTTTTCCTCCTGAACTTATTTTATAAATAATTTTCTATCCATTTTTTGCCAACGTGGCACTATCTTGTGGACCCAGCGCGTGCAGAAATTTTTTTCAAGCTAGTGTCACGTAAGTTGAAAAGGGGTAGAAAATTATTTAAAAAATAAGTTCAGAAGAGGTAATAGGACCTTAATATAGTCTAAGTGTGTCTCTGAAATTTCGGGCATAGATTGAAGGTACTTATGTATTTTTTCATTATATTATAATTAATCTGTATTATCAGTATAATTTAACCAGCTATAATAAGTTACTATTTTATTTTTACGAGTTACTATACATCAAAATGTATATGGAAAGTTACATATTAGTATGGCATATAGGTCAACTAGATGATAAGTTTTTAGAAAATACACAAAAATTAAATTACTAATTTAGCTTATATAAACTACAACAATAATCGTACTTCAATCCCAAATAAATTAGTATCAGTTGCATAAATACTCACTAACCATATTCCGATCCGTTAACTTATACGTACATTAACTATATAAATCTTATTATTTTAACCTGTTATATATACCGTACAATCAACCTCTCAAAATTCTTCAAACATTTACCTAAAATATCTTCAAGATAACTTAACAAAATAAAATAAAATAAAATCTTCACTATCAATATATAAAAATTATTTTTTTCAAAAAAAAAAGTCAAAAGTCCGATATAGTCCATGTGGCCGGCCCGGCCCGGCCCGAGGTGTTGTCTTTCCCTCCTATAAATATTGTTAACACACCGAAGTCTTAAATCACACCATAGTGTTCATTTTAGACTTCAAACATACACATACAACAATATTTCACTACTTCCTCCCCCCCCCCCCCCAAATCAACACCATGGAATGTAGTGATCACAAAACCACAACAACAATTTCTTCAATGAATTCATCATCATCAACATTTGCTAGTACTATATCTACCACTCCAACAAGTGGATTATTGTCACCTAAAAGTAGTATATTATTATCAACTCCTCCAATGAATGTTGTTCTTTCTCCATGTGCTGCTTGTAAAATCCTCCGTAGGAGATGTGTTGAGAAATGTGTATTGGCACCTTATTTTCCTCCCACTGACCCTCTTAAGTTCACCATTGCTCATAGAGTCTTTGGTGCTAGCAACATCATCAAAATGTTACAGGTAATCTGTCTTATTTTTGTACGTTTTAATTCGTATAATATAAATCTTATTTTACATTCATATTCATTCATCATGTTTTCATATTCAATACATAATTTACCTGTTTTTGTTGTTAGTGTATTTTAACATGTTATCACATATAAATCGTATCATTATAAAGACTTATACATGCGAACCACGATCTAAGATATATATAAGTATTTATCGTGTGTTCTTAAAGATATGTGAACATAGATAGATATACAACTAAATATTAATTTCTTGTTATTAATAGTTTGTGGTCTAAGATGTTAGGCCAAGTTTTTAGCACATAATGTTTACTTTTAGTTGTTCATTTTGGTTTCTTTGACTTAATTTTAGGTGTAGTGCGACTTCTTAGAACCTTCTTTTTTAAGTTCAATCTTTTTACCCTAACAAAACTTTCAAACATAAAAAAAATAAAATTGTGGCTTGACATTTTAAACTCAATATTTTGTTTATTATATTATACGTTACATAAATGGTGATAGTTATAATAAGACAGATATCTTACTACTATATGTAACATAATATATCGTTTAAATATTTTCAGGAGCTTCCAGAGGAACAAAGAGTGGACGCGGTGAATAGTATGGTGTATGAAGCAAATGCAAGAATAAGAGATCCAGTTTATGGTTGTGCTGGTGCAATTTGTCAATTACAAAAACAAATAAGTGAACTCCAAGCAGAATTTGCAAAGGCACAAGCAGAAATCTTGAATTTAAAATGTCAAAATTCAAATTTATTGGCTTTAGTTTGCATGGAAGTATCAGAAAATAGCAGCAATAGCTTATTATTATCTTCAGATCATATTAATGATTATGAAAATAATAATGATAATACTAGCATGTTTTTGGAAGACAACAATTTATATGGAGCTTGGGAACCACTTTGGACATGATTAAAATAATGTTGTTGTGGTCAATATTATAATTGTCCCCCAAGAAAAAAGGGGTAGAAAAAGATAGTGATATATTTTTAGAAAATTTAATAAAAATATTTAATATCAAGGAGTTGGACTTCTTGAAGATATCAGATGTAACAAAATTATAATATTATAGAAGAATGTTTTACTACTTTAATTTCTTGATGATGAATATATTTCCTTTGTTACTTGGATTTAATTAACTTAATTATTATACCGTGTGAATAATTTGTTTTAAAATTTATCAGTATACTTTGATATGTCATAGGAGTAGCAAGTAATTTGCATTTATTTTAATTTATTACTAGGTTATTTTTTATATTTTTATTTTAATTTATAAGTTAAACTTATCACGTTCAAAAAGAATGGACCACTCACGATAATAAGAATTAGTTGTTCAAACTCACATCAATACATACCTCTTAAAATAACTTGTAAATTTTTAGTGTTTATTTTTTCATATATTGAATTGGTTTAATAAAAAATATAACTCTGTCACTAACTTTAATATATATACGTTGTCTCTGACTGGTTTAGGTAGGTTAACTATATAGACTTTAATTGATAGCTATGCTCTAAAGTTTTTCAAAAAAAAAATAAATCATTTTCTCCTTGAGATAATGTTGGAGAAAAAGGAAATTAAGTGGGTGGGTATGCATTTATTTATTTTAAAATAATATATATATATATATATATATATATATATTCCCTTTAATGTGAAAAGCATTTAGAAGTATAAGGAATATTTTTGAAGCGCAGGATAATTATGGACAACTTTTTGAAAGAAAAAAGAGGATTACTATTATTAACAAGACAATTGTATTATGCCTTATTTTAGAAAAAAAACATATTATCTTATACTTATTTTTGCACATGTTTAACTCACATCTCTATTTTATTGTCTTCAAATTTCTAACACTAATCACTCGTTATATATGTTAAATATAGAGGAGTTTTTTTTTAATTTATTTTTTAAAAATGAAGAGAGATCATAATGTGATAAATTGAATCCTTAATAAGATAAAGTTCACGTAACCAATTAGAGGAGTTTTATATATCAGTTTAGATAAATAATTTTTACACTATCATATCAATTTCACCTATTGAGCTAAATAATTTATCATATTTTAAAAATTAAGTACCTCACATTTTACTTTACTTTACTAGATCTATATTATAAATGGGAGTGTGAGGAGCTTGGGGTCAAGCTAGCTACTTACATAGTAATTTGTGGAATGTTTGTAAGTACTTTATTTTGTACTTAAATGATAAACTATCATATCATTTTCACTATTTGTATTAATTATAGGGGAAAATTGTATTATAAATAATAATAATAATTAACCATTTTAAATAGTTTCAAAACATATAAAAATTAGATTAACTCACAAAATTCCATAAATATTACAGCCTCGTGTATAACAAGAACTTAATCAACAAAATTGTCTTACTTTTAATTAATTGATATCAGAAGATAAGAAGTATCAATATTTGTGCTAAAATAAAATAGTAATTGTTCATTCATTTTTATTAAAACATTACAAATTTCAGTATAACAATATATTGTTTTTAATAGCAAATACTCTACTCTCAAATAAAATTTATTATAACGTTAATTAAATTAAATTAGTTAGATTTTAAAATAAATAGCATTGCATATTTAAAAAAAATTAAATACAAGACAATAGAAACGAAATATATTTTTGACATGTCGTTTTATTGGAAGCTGCTTCTTCTTGTAATGGAATAATCAAAACCTTTTTGTACTTTATTGAGACTTGGACCTTTTCATTTACTTTATTATTATATATATATGCCCCCTATTTCACTTACACTGCACTATGAATTATTCAATAATTAAACACTAGAAAAAGTTTCAAACGTAGACTAAATATATTCTAAAATCAAGTTTGAAACTTTCTTATTTTGCTAATTTGACCTTCAAAGCTTTTTAACCCTTTTTTTCTTGAAGGTCGCGGAGTTAAAATATGAAAAAGTAAACATATTAAAATTTAAAGGGTTAAGATACAACATTATTATGCATACATAAAAAAATGTCAATGAAATATCTTTGAACTGATCGATTGTATTATGTCATATAAGATATATTTATATTATGTATAAAATATGTATGTCTACTAATTGTGCACACTAAAATTAAAGCTCAAGAGCAAAAATAACAAATAAAACGAAGTTAAAAAGCATGTTGTGTATTATGGCTTTCAGGTGGAGATAATAATAATCGCAATTCAATGTGCACACTAAAATTAAAGTTGAAAGACAAAAATAACAAATAAAACGAAGTTAAAAAGCATGTTAATGTATTATGACTTTCAGGTGGAGATAATAATAATCGCAATTCAATGCTAATTTGGTGGGAGAAAACTTATCATCCCTTAAGTGACTTTCACCTGAAAATACTTAATGTCTCAAATCCAAATTTGATAGAAGAAAATGATGTAAGTACTTGTAAATTTAATGTGAAATTTTCCAATATACAAATTTAAGAAGACTAATACTATATTTTTTTTTTATAGAAGTCTTCATTGATCATTTTTTATCATTATCAAAGACTTGATGTATTCACTAATTTTCCACAAGTTGGAATCATTCCAAAAGTTTCATTAAAGATGAAAAAAAAAATGTCTTTAATGATAGTTACAATTGAAGTCTTGCCTAAATTAACTTGTTCTACAAGAATCATTTGATAAAGTTAAAATTTACCTAACTCTCTAATAATTTTGGGAGTGTAATTCATATATACTGACAGTTACATTAACAGATTATTATAAGTCAACTACATGCTAGTAATATTATATCTGGAAATAATCAAAGGCGTATTTAGAATTTTGATTAAATGAGTGTATGATTATAAAAAGTGTATCTTAAATATAAATTTAATCGATTTAAATTTTATTTCTTAATTTGAACCATTAAATTTTTTAAATTATAGGTCCACAATATATAATATTATTAATTTTATATTTTAATATACATATTTGATTTAATTATATAAAAGAAATTATAGTGCTGATTTTTTTTTTTGAAATTTCCAGTGTAACATGCTTGAAATTTTTAAAAGACTTAAAGGAAAAAACAAAAGCAACATTAGTTAAAACGTCAAAAGTGTAACCGATAACCATTTAGAAAGAAGTTACTCAAAAAGATAAGATAGATATAAGATTTAAGTTACTATTTTCACTTAGAGATGTGCACCCAATCATCATCGTATGATACTTTGAATATGGATTCACATATCTATATATAAATATTTTTCTTAAAAAAATATAACACTGTAATATATGATTTAGAGAAAAGCATGGATTCACGTGAATAAACGGCACTCCTCTAAATACGTCTCTAGAAATAATATATAGAAACTTATAAAGTATGATAACATACAACAAATAAGAGTTAGGACTTCGTCTCAATAACACTAGTTGTCAAACGAGCTCTTACATTTGTTTGACTAATAGCTAGATATTTTCCACCATGCACGTTAAAATTTTAAGGTAGAATCGGTAGATAAATGTGACTTGACTAGACTAGACTAAAGACTATACAAAATTATGCTTGACGAGTGAGTCTTGAAACCCAATATGGATCGTTGTGGAGTGGTGAGACTGTTTCATCTTTAATAAAGATCTCGGGTTGAGGTCATGGATATCAAGAAAATCCAATTCGATGCGCAACCCCCGAATGGGCCTTACAGTGCATAATTTAATTTAATAGGGCTCCATTATAGGCTCCGAATATCAAGTGAAAACAAAAAAGAGCAACTTTCATATATAGCAAATACAAAATTCATATTTGTATACTATATCAAAGTTTGCATAATTGCGCTCCATAGCAAAACATAAATATGTATAATTCGCTATACATATACAAAGAAACCAATTGTATAATTCGTTATACGTATACAAAAGAAAGCAGTTGTATACAAATCAATTGTATAATTTGTGTATGTATAAAACGAGAAAGAGAGAAAGAAAAAAAATTGGGCAGGAGAATATTTATATTGCATAATTATAAGTGCATATGACGAAGATATATGTATTTGCAAGTGTATATACAATTTTCTCTTACTTTATATAAACAGAAACACAATTTATACATTTTGTTTCTGTTTGTATAAGCGATAGAGGCGAGGGTGACGAGCGAGATCTAGGAGAGTGGCATGCACGATCTAGAAGAGGGGAGAGAGGGAAACGAAAATATATGTATATATACATTTTTTTCTCTTTATGCAAACAAAAACACATTTTATACACTTGTGTTTATATAAAAGTGAGGGAGTGAGCAAGAGATGGAGCGAGAAAGGGAGAGTGGTGAGCGAGAGTTTAAGGCAGAGAGGTGACTCACAAACAGTTTGCTATAGGGTACAATTAACTTAAAGTGTGATTATAATATTTGATTTAATTTATTAATTTGTCATTATATAAGTGTGATTATAATATTTGATTTAATTTATTAATTTGTCATTATATATAATCCCCCCCCCCCAAAAAAAATAAAATTGAGAAGAGTATATCATGCTAATTAAGAATTGTAATAGTAATGTTTTTTTACTTCTAAAATATGTTAAACCATTTTTTTCAAACCTTCACACAAGTTTCTCATAAGCTTAATTTTCTTTTCTATTTTGTTTGTTTGTTAGGTATCTCTAAAATTCTGGTTACTTCAAATAAAGGACTATACGAACTTTAAATACTGTGTTATATTTTGCAACAAAAGTCAAGTGAAATAAAAGAAATAAAACACAGGAATAAATATACTCCCTCCCTGTCATATTAATATATAGTTATGTTTTGCTTCTTGATAATCAAAGAATGGCTGACTTAAAAATTAATTAAATTTAGTTTTAAATTATTTTTAATTTTTTGGAGTGTTTGATAAAGTTTAAGATAACTTAAGTAAGTATAAAATAATTTTAAAAAATTAAAAATTAAAATTAGGGCTTGTCTTATTTTTTATTTTGTCATAATAAATAAATGTATTTTTTAACTTGGTATTATTTTACATTTATGTATTCGGGTGTATATAAGTAGACATTTAAATTTTTGTCAAGTTGAATGTAGACACATGAGTCTTATGTGGCATAATAAATGTAGGACA